AAAGACCTGCTGTCTCACGGCCAAAAAGAATTTCGAGTGATGGCAATGTATCTACATATATAAATGGGTCCTGGATGATAAGGCCATTTGAAGAGCAAACCTTGGAAAGGAATAGATTTGTGTATATAAGGAAGGTGCTCTTTGGAGTGGTGAGATGTGATACTTACTGATGGATATACATTTACACGACAAGACTTGTACAAGTGAGGAGCGTTCTGCCTGGACGGAGACCATTGAATCAAAAGGCAGTGGGATGATTGCATTTTGGCATAGACTGTATCAAGGACGGCAAGTGTTGCATATAGTGTTATATATGTATATTATGTATGTGTGTGAAGGCGCTTTTAACAAGCAACATTGTTTCCGAGTTGGTTTGATGACTGCTTTAGACAGTTCTTCTTCAACTTCATTTGGATACAATCATTGTCCCAATATTATCACTCATCAGCTTCCTGGCCAGGAAAAAAAGTATTAAGAGGGAGGATGGAATCACACTTTTCGCTGATGGAATAAGAAAAACACGTTGATTAAACAAATTGCCTTCTTATGGAAGGATGTGTTCAATAAACTTACCCTGAAAGTTGTTTCACGCCAAGCTGGATGTGCTTATCACCGGAACGGTGTTTTCTTTAGGATGAATTAATTGAATTTGAAAGATGAGAGATTTGCGAGGGAAAAGACCTTTCAAAGACAGAGACTTGGATAGAGGAAATGGGATCCTTAAACAATTAAAGCAGGAAGCCTTCATGAAGGAGGATGCTCTTTGAGGCTATCTCTCGAGAAGAAGACACCAGGAGAATGTTATAATATAAAAATGTTGTAGCAAAAACACCGGCTGAACAAAGATTAATAAGCCAGCTGTGATCAAGAGGGAAGTTCACCTACAGGAAGATACTTGCATGACGGAGGCAGCTTCAGCAACTCCTGGAAAAACTTGTAAGTTTGTATGGGAGCTGGCCAGCAAAATGCCTGTATACCCAACATAGAAAACAATAGAAAACAATGAATGACCTGTGTTCACGGCGTTCAGGAACACTGTTGTGGGGGTAGCTGAACCGCAAGAGCTCATGACCTGGATATTTCAAAGGGTTCTTTCAAGGACTCCTTGTTCCTTGGTTTGGTCTTTCTCCTTTTTGGGGGGGGTTGTGTTTCCGTAAGTGGCATCTCACAAAGTTCCAACGCCGCAATGTGCCTCCTTCTGAAAGAAACTTACCAGCACTATCTCAGAACAGCCACAGGTGAAAAGCAGGTCAATAAGGAGCATATCGGAGATGGGCTGACCTTGGCCGACGATCCAGAGCAGGACCCTCAGGCTTGCCGCCAAATAATGCAAAACCAACTCATCAGTGTGTTCGGCAAAGGGTACCAACAGAGTGAAAAAGGGAGTGGTTCGTAACTCATTCAAGGACCCTCTCAACTTTTGTAGAAAAGAACACACGATCTCTGGTTGGTCTATCCATGTCCATCCTATTGGCTAAAAGGTTTGCGAAAAAGCCCGAAGCAGCTTATGCCCTCGAGGAGCATCTTGTGCACTGAGACACAATCGAGCAAATGTCATAAAGTAGCAAAGACATGAAAGGAAGCATGGTATGGAACTTTGAATTTCCCATGAGCGGGAGCATTTTTGGCTGCCGCTTTGGAAGGACCCCGCGTGTGAAGAGGCGCCGGGCTGGTCGGAGCCAGGCACCCAACATTCCATCCGCATTGAGAGGAAAGTGAAAACTGGCTAGAGAGGCTTGGCCGCTTCAGGTAAGTCCTGGATCCTGGTCCATAGTTTTCCCGCAGCTCAGGTATCGTTCTCAGCTGATGGCCTTGGTAGCCATCGAGTGGCAGGATGCTGCCGCCTTGGCCTACGTGCTGCCCCAAGGTTCTCAAAACGCACGTCTTTTGGCCCAGCAGCTGGTTCTCACAACGCATGGGCTGGTCCTCAAATGCGGCTGTTTTTTGGGGTGATCGAACTTCGGCAAGATGTGTAGAGTTACATATGACTCCATATTTGCCACCTCACGTTCCAATGCCTATTTGCTTTCAGACGTCTCCAAGGAGTGGATGAATTCTCGAGGCATGATGAAGATAAGCACTTAGCACAATTCATTGTGTTCTGAATGATTGACCAAACCTGGTGCAAGTTTGAAACTGTCAGCATCACCCCCGTGATCGAGGACAAAGATCATGGACGACGAAGCCAAACACTGCTTGCCTGGCGTTGTTGTTGCAGGCTGAGTTGCTGTGGAGTGCGACCCACTGTCGGCATGATCAAGAAGAAGTGTCGGTTTGTTGTTGTATGGTCAAGGCCTCTCTCCACCTCTTGGTGCCAGAGTCTTAAGCTTTGGTTAAGGAAACTGTCCTCGAAGGCAAGTTTGCGCACCCTCAAGGGTCGTTCAAGCAACTGATCCATCAAGGATCAATCATAATTGGCATAAGGTGCCACCTGTTGCAGTGTAATGTGCTGCTTTGAGCATTTGAGGCGCTTTTCCTTGGAAGCAGCCTCCTCAGCTACTAGTTATGCGATGGAATGAGCCCTTTGGCTTGGGTAGCATTGCAGCCCAGGAGGACGGCAGCTGGGAGTCCGCTGTGTACATGACCCGTTGTCTCAGCGGTTATGCGCGCCTTAGATGTGCAAGATGTTCTTTTCTTGCCGAACTTAGCTCTCATAGGAACACTTGTCAGCACCAGCTACACACGGGCGGCCTCATTGATACATCCCGAGGTCTAGTATGCATCCTGACAAGTTCGACCAGATCACCGCGAACGGAACACGATGGCCTGTGACAGCTCCAGCCTTGGACACGTCGCTGAGAGGACTCTCGCTGCTGTTTGAGACAATGTTTGCAGGTAGCCGAGATGGATTCCATTCGACGGAGGCTGGCCGTGGCTTCAGCCAACAGGCAGGCTTGGACAAAGTGCCGAAACCAGAGTGAACGTTTTGAACATATTCAAACGAGGTTTGGAGGATGTTCTAGTAAAGAGGATTAAAGAGGAGTATAGATCGGGATCACCGCACGCCCAGGACCACTACTTCGTGGAAGAATGAAGCTGGGGAGAGCCAGGGCCTTCAAACTACCAGATCAGTTGCAGGATTTGTTCCCTCAGATTCGACCAGCAGAGAGATCGATAATTCGATGATAATCCTGCAGGCTACGTTGGCAATGCCTTTACCATGATGGGGACAGACGAGGTAGAACCTGGCATCAGCATGAAGAATTCTGTGCGGGTGTACGTCTATGATGTGGAGGACCGGGATCAGTGTAGGGCAATAGCTGTAGTGGTCGCTGAAAATTGACTTTTGAAGGATTACTTTGAGCTCAGGGTGCTGGCGAGAGGAGCATCATTCTGTCGTTTGGAGCTTAGCCTGCAGTGAAGAGAGCTTGCAGCAGATATCCATCTGCAATTTTCACAATACTGTAGTGATTGTTATGACAACGCTGTGACACTTAAGGTTGGTTAACTATGACATGCTACGGCGGACTGAGGCGAGAACCAATGGGGCTTCGAAGTTGGCTTGCACGAGTGGTTCCTTGCATGTCCTTGCCGCACCGAAGATCCTTTGGAGGCCAGGATAAAATCCCAGGTTCTGCTAGTTGGAGGAATCAGCAATGCCAAGCAAAAGCCGGCTGCGCAGCAAGTGAATGGAAGATGAAGGAAGTAGTTGTGTAAGTGAAATCCTTTGTGTAGGCCCTGAGATGTTTCATTTTTTGTGCAAAGGTTGCAGAGCAAAGCCATACTGGTAGCGGAGATTTGTATACACTGATTTGAAACCTTACGTCTAACAGCCGGCTACTTGCCGTCGTGAGGCAGGAGTATAAACCCAAAAGACGAAGAACATTAGTTTTGCTATTAAATGTTACTTCCATTTCTTCGTCCTTTTCTTCTTCCTCCTTCTTCTCCTGCTTCTTGTCTTTCTCCTTTTGCTTCTCCTCCTTTTGCAGCCACAACAACAATCACAACGCAAGCACAACACAAACAGTACCAGAATGTGCCAGATGTGCGTCCCGGCCCGTGCAGCATACTTAGTATCACAATTGCTTTCAAAGAGCCAAGCACAACATGTCCAAATATGTCCTACAAGCTGGATGGCGATGCCGGCGATGCTACAAAACACTGGTAAACGATGAACGAGGTCAGCAGCGCAAAAGAATACGGGCTTGTCATGGCCAGCGAATTTGTACAATAAAGGCACCTTGCAGCACAGGCTGCCAGCCCTGGTTCTCGTCACGGGATCTCATGAGGATGATTTCTTCTCTTTCAATCACCATCATTGTCTTGAGACTTCGCACCATGTGGTTAACCAGGACGCCTCCGAGAAAGTAGTAGTAAGTAGAAGTCGTGGCCCCAACCTGTCCTCAACTACTTTGTCCGCCCTACTACTACTACTACTCCTCCTACTGCTACTGCTACTGCTACTGCTACTCCTCCTACTGCTACTGCTACTGCTACTCTTACTACTGCTACTGCTGCTACTGCTTCTTTTACTACTACTACTACTACTACCACTACTACTACTACTACTACTACTGCTGCTGCTGCTACTGCTACTGCTACTTCTACTGCTACTCCTACTACTCCTACTTCTACTCCTACTGCTACACTCCTACTGCTGCTGCTACAGCTACAGCTACTACTACTCCTCCTCCTACTGCTACTGCTAATGCCGCTGCTACTCCTCCCACTACTACTACTATTACTCTTACTCCTACTACTACTACTGCTACTACTACTTCTTACTCCTACTACTACTACTACTACCACCACTACTACTTCTATTTCTACCACTACCACTACTACTACTCCTACTTCTACTCCTACTGCTACTGCTACTTCTACTGCTACTCCTGCTACTGCTACTGCTGCTACGGCTGCTGCTACTGCTACTCCTCCTACTACTACTACTACCACTACCACTACCACCACCACCACTACTACTACTACTACCACTACTACCACTACTACTACTACTACTACTTCTACTACTACTACTACTACTACTACTACTTCTACTTCTACTTCTACTTCTACTTCTACTTCTACTTCTACCACCACCACCACCACGAGGACGACGACTACTACTACTACTACTACTACTACTACTTCGCTCTTTGCTGTTCATATGAGAAAGCCTGAAACCGATAGAGGCCCACCCAACTCATCGGTGCCCTCCACGGGAAATAAGTAGTATTTTCCCACGCTAATATAATAGTTTTGGGCCTTGCAAAAAACAGTCTTCAGGGAGGCGTCGTTGACTTAAAACAATCTATGGGTCTTTGGGGGTGTTGCTCCAGGGGGTCAGGTGAGCCAACAGTGGTCTGTCACACACGTGCCCCTTCCCTCTCTTGCACATTGATCTCTTCTCGCTTTCAGAAAGGCGCGTCACTTAGAACAGCCCTTGAGCATTTGCCTATGCGGTTGACCCCCCTATAGTATATGAGCGCATGCCCTTTTCAACTGGATGAGTTTGATTTTTGGTCAATTTTTTTATGACTATTGATTTTGCAAGATAATGAGAAGCCTAAATCACTGCATTGCATTTGAGGTTATAGAACCAGACCTCTACTGGCGAAAAACACGGGTGTGTGACGTCTTGCTGTTGAGCCTTTGCTTCACAGATCACCAGCTGCAATGCCCATGGTTTTCATCAAGCCATGATGATGGCTGTCTTTGATAGCAATCCCATACGACCCATAACACGCAAGTATGAAGCAACATACATATAATCTTGACATACAAATACGACATAATACGACTACATAAATGAACTACATTTATATATAATGTATCATATACATACACATGATGCATGTTTATGTAAATATTCCTGCGGGCCCTGGAAGTGAGATCAGGGGACCATTGGAACTTGGCCCAGCATTCACCACCAAAGCCTCTGCAGCACGGCCAACGTACCGATCAAACCTCAAGTGTTCCTGAAACCTTCCATCACCCTTGTAGGAAACCTTGATGTATATATATATATATTTTTTTTATAATGGTGCAAGATCTGCAAGGGAAACCCTCCTGCGCGTTTGGCCAAGGGCTCCCAGGCCATTATGTGCCCCGACGCCACAAACCATCACCATCTAGAAGCCTTGTTGCCATCTCGCCCCAAGCCACAAATAGACTTGCTCGGAAAGCCTCTCATCCGCAAATGTCTCCACATAGCTTTTTCCCTTTGCCTTTCTCATTTCCTGGGCTTCCAAGAATTGATTCAGCCGAGAGAGTCAGTGGTTGGACCCTCTAAGCTGCTCTGAAAGGGTCTTTTTCTGAAGCCCTCGATAACCTCGATAGGTCAGTTGACCATATCTATATACAGAGGGCGGACCCTCCACCCCCACCTCATGGCAATGCCACCAATGAAGGCCTTGATGAACCCACTGCACCAATCCCAATATTCCACCAACCAACCCCAATCGCCGATCTTTTGGAGCGACCACGAAACTGGCCCGGTCACAGCCAAACCAGCGGCCAGACCCTGGCGGGCGTGTAGTCAGTGGTCTTCCTTGGGGCAACGTGTGCCCTCCAACAAACGAAGGTTTGGAACCTCCAGGATATTTCGGAACATGTGGGAACCATGCTTCATAAGCCTTTAGAAAGCACTTGTCCGCATTTGTTTTGGAGTGGGTTTTTTGTTGGAAATCAATTAGTTAACAGCCCACATGTACCATAAATATTGGTTGTATAAACCATCGGCAATAGGTGCTGCGCAGAACAGTGACTGGGATTCTCTCCAATCTTCCTTTCTCGATGGAGAAGGAGCAACACGAGTCACTGGATGCAAGTCTGTGGCCTATGTGAAAACCAATGAAAACGCACAACTTCCAGATGTCCAGGTCCACGAACCCAAGGGCAGGATCCGCTCACCCAACTAACCTTGCTCTCTCGCTCTACATCTGTGAGTTCACTTACGGGCAACTTCCAGATCCGACAACGGATATGATCCGTTAGGGGAATGTCGATGACCCCAAAGGCAGGATCTGCTAACGAATAATATCCGTTAGCGGATCTGGAAGTTGCTTGCTTTCACACAACCAATCTTGCTTTGTCTCTCTACATCTTTGAGTTTCTTGTTTCCCTACTTACAAAGCCAGCGCTTAGCCCATCCAAGTCAGCCTATCACGTTGTTCAACCCGCCGCGTGGCCCAAGACCAAGTTAGAAGCTCCCTTAAACCTGCCTTGGCGTAAACTTGATGGGAAGAAAGTGTTGGCCACAGATGGCCTCCGACATCTATATAGTTTGATTGACAAAGATGTTGCAATAGATTATAACATTCTATTTGGCAAATATTGTGACGTACAGTGTGACAACTCTATCTGAAACGATTTCCGACATGCTGTTTGACATTCCATTTGATACTCTATTTGGCGAACAGTTTGTTCTGTTTGGCAGGCATCCTGCGTTGTACCTTCTGGCATTCTATTTGCCATCTCTTCTGGCATATCTTCTGACATTCTTACTTGCATTCCATAGGCGCCAGTCCAGAAATTCATTCTGCCAAATTATTTGGCGAGAGCTGTTAGAGAGGTGGGAGGTGCCAGAGCTTCGGTGGTGTGTGAAGATACTGGAGAGGTGCATTTTGGCTGGGAGGATGCAAAATCAGGTATTTGTTCTGGCGTTCATTCTTGTCAACAAAATGTCCAATTGACATTCTTGGCAATCTATCTTGCATTTCAGACATGACATTCAATCTGGCATTTGTTATTCTGTTGGGCGCTGAAGATGGGGTGCTGACAGGGAGGGGGTGGAGATGAGCACCTCTCCAGCACCTCCCCAGCGCCTCGCGCCTGTCCAACACCTCCGCAGCATCTCTCCAGCGCCTCTCAGCAGCACCTTTGCAGCTCCATGTTTTTTGAGCACCTCCCACGCTGGGGAGGCGCTGGAGAAGTCCTAGAGAGGTGCGGTGCTGCTAAAGAGTGCTGCTGGGTGGGCGATCCAAGCCCCCAGCAAGGGGCGTGGATGATGGGGTGAAAAAGACGATCCTATGCGTGATGTGTGGATGTGCTGCGGGTGGAACAATTGAGATTTCCAAGTGTTTGTGTGTTGTGAAAAGTAGCAAAGTACTCAGGTGTAGATAGTTTGCTGATGCCAAGGATCCAACACTTTCATGGCATACCCACGGCTGTCTTAGAAGGCAGCCCAAGCCACCCCCCTTTCCTCCACCCCACCCTCTAAGTAGTCGTGGGGATCGCCCAATTTTCTTGGGAGCATTTCGGGGGAGCCTTATTAACATCAAGTGGCTCGACATAGGTACCGTTTGGATTCCACACGTTTTTTCTACACTCATTTTGGCCAAATTTGGTGGTTTGGGTTGGTGGTTTGCTATTCTGCCAGATGTGGCTTTCTAAAAGACACTATTTGTTGACGTGTGGTAATTTTACTGATTCAAACTTGAATCATTAACAAAACTGCTGGTTGCTGTGCTGCTGCTGGGAGGCGTGCAGTTGCTGAACATTTACAGGCAACATGGTAACATGATGGCATGTTGTGTATGGTTCCATTGCACTCAATGTTTTTTTGCGTGTATGTATTTCAACTGCCAGCTTAATGAACCCAGCGTGCCTCAAGCACTAATGACACAGCGTCCAGCAATCTATGAAAAGAAAAGATAGAAAACAAACAGACAACGGCAGCCAACAAGTCAAATAAACTAAAACATATATGAATCCAACATGGACACTGCAGAACAGCCTTTATTAATTTAGCATGAAACCAGCATCAATCCAGCACGAAAACGGCATTAAATCAATGGTAGCCATTGTTACTTCAACTGGCATCATAAATGAACCTTGTATGATCTTGTATGATCTTGTATGAAACATTTATCAATCCAGCATGAAAGGACATGAAACCTGCACTAGTCAATTGCACCCTGTTGTTTCACGCTAGTATAGTGTTATCTATGTCTCACTCGTGCTACTTTGGCTCAAGGCAAAACAGGTGCGACTAGGTGGCGCTTATCGGTCGTTTTCCTGTAACTACAGGTTATCAGCCGTATCGCCAAAAGTGCGGTACGTGCTTGGTACTAGCCCTGGTCTCACCCCACCCTAGATAGTGCACTGTCTAGAGGCCATGGCTGATGATGAAAGTTCCCGTGGTGACCGCTCACTTTCAGGCTACGTTCCCACTTCGCCTGCCATGTCGAGCTCAGCTCACCTGCTTTGGAACTCCCTGTCGTTCCGCTGGAGTTGCGTGCGCCAAATGTGCCACCGATGCTCAGTGCACAGGGGGACCTGCTGCCTAGTGTTCAAGCTCCGTCGCCGTTTCAACCTGAATTCTCTCCTGTGATGAATGTCCAGAACGTTGATGCGAGACAGATTCATCAACAAGCAGTCTTCGTCAATGAGGATAGGTCAGCTCAGGTAGCTCAGATTGCGGAATTGCGGCATCAGGCCATTTTGGCCGAGCACGGGCAACAAGTAGCAGATGATGCTAGGCAATATAGAGACTTAGTGGAGAACCAAGCTAGAGTGGCTATCCAGGAGTCTAGGGAACAAATTGAGGCTTTAGCCAATCAACGTTTGAGTGACATGAACCAAGCCCATCAAAACCAACAACTTCATGAACAGAGGGCTTATTTAGATCGGATTTCGCTCGAACGACACTCCGTCGTCGAGAACGAACGCGCCTCTGCCAAGCAAAGAGAGGATGCACTTCGGTCAGAGTTAGCTGAACAGAGTCGAATCATCAAGGAGTTGCGAGAGAGATTTGACAACGCCTCGGGGAACCGAGTGCCTGCGCCATCAGTGCAGCCACCTGGATCCCAAGGGTCCCCAGCTTTGCCTCCAGCGAGCCTTCGCACTCAGCTGGAGAAGCCCGGGAACGAAGGGCGATGACGATCCTCATCCGTCCAATGCGGATGACGAAGGTGATGATAAGTCCAAGAGGGATAAGAAGAAGAAAGGAAAGGAGAAGAAGAAAGAGAAGAGCCCAAAGAGAGGCCGATCAAGAGAGCGCAGGAAAAGGCGTTCTCCTTCTCCGTCGCCTTCGTCACCTAGATCAGCAAGCGGAAGTGACAGCTCCAACGACTCAAGCTCTGAATCTTCGCGTCTTGCACGCATCATCCGCAAGGAGCTGAAGAAGCAGCAGAGAAAGTCAAAAGACAGAGATCGTGAGAGCAAAGCCAAAGAGGCTGATAAAGTTCTCATTCCCAAGTTTCCCACGCCTGAGAAGTACAGAGATTGGAAGATCAAGGTGAGGGACAACATTGCTGCGGCTTCAGCCAAGCCAGATGAAGCTCGAATATGGGTTGGGAAAGTGCACAAGGATTCCCAAACCATCGACGCCTTGGACGATTCAGAGGGTTTTGCAACCCTTGACGCAAAGCTTCTAGCAAGCTTGACCAATTGCGCTGAGGGGGACCTTGGTCGTCAAATTGCTACCTTCAAGGAGCTGCGTGCTCGTGAAGACAAGAATGTGAAGGGAAGACATTTGCTCCTTCGCTTTCATGAGTACTTTGCAACAAGCATCAAGCATGGTGCATTCTATGGTCTCGAAGACCTTATGTCCGTCAAGATGGTCAATGACGACCTCAAGGGCTTTATCAACAAGTGGGACAGTGTTCTGGCCGGAATGAAGAAAGAACCAGAAGACAGTGTCCTTGAAGCTTACTTCCATCTGGCAGTCAAGCGCTTTAAACCCCTTGAGCATGACCTGGCATTGTACGATCGAGCAGCTGATGGTAGTAAAGAAAGATCGTATGACTTCTTGATCACAGCTGCAAGGGCCTATCTTGAACGGAGAAGGCTTGAAAAGATGCGTGACGCCACCAAGCGTTCGCTCGGGGCCAAAGATACAGCCATGCCTGCTCCAGATGACAAGAAGGGCGTATGCTTTGACTTCCAAAAGACCGGAAAATGCAAGCGCGGATCATCATGTCCTTACAAGCACGAAAAGGGCCGCGAGAAAAGCAAAGGAAAGGGAAAGGGCAAGGATCGCAGTCAGTCTCGGTCAAGATCATTGACGCCTGGGTCTCGAAAGGAGACTTGCAAATTCTGGAAAGCAGGACATTGTCATCGAGGCAAAGACTGTGCGTTCCAGCACCCTGAAAAGACTGTCCCTGCGAAGAAAGAGGACAGGAAAAAGAAGAAGAAGAAAGATAAGAAACCTGGCAAGCGAAGCAGCTCACGAGGATCGTCAGGCTCCGACAACTCAACTGGCTCGGAGAGTCAGCGGAAGAAAGGTGGGAAATCTTCTTCTTCCAATGCGCCGGCAGCAGTCTGCCTCCTTCGAGCAGTGGTCATGGCCGCAGTGGTCTCTCAGGGATCCTCCGTCCTCATCACTCGCCCGCTGGGAAGCGTGGCCATGCCGGTCCTTTCCGCGTCGAACACATTATGCACCGATTTTGACAACACAGAAAACATTGACAGTTTTGTTAGACAGCAAGTTCGTTTTGATGATCAACCAAACGTTTTTAGTCATGCTGTTGAGTCTTCTTCCAACTGGCGGTCTGTTCAACCCCGAAGTAAAAGGAAACGGAAGACCTTCACACCAAATCGGCCGGAGTACATTGAAGCTGTTCGAGTTGCCACTGAAGATGCTTCCATTGCAGCCTCACACCTCCAGAACGCTGTCAGGAACGAGCTTTCGTCCATGCCGGCAGAGTGTTCGTACCTGTGCAACTCCGACATTGGTTGCATTAAGTGTTTTGGTAAGAGGCCATCGACTTCAGTGCCAGCTACTGAGATCGCTTGGATAGCGGACACGGGCAGCGCTCATGATCTTGTGTCTAGGCACATGCTCCATTCCGATGAGGTGTCACAATCATCCAAACCTGTAAGTCTTCTCACAGCCAACGGAGTATTCCAAGCTACTGACCAAGCCAGAGTAAATGTTCCCATTTTGGGTGATGACATCAATCCGTGTGTCCTAGATGACAGTCCAGCCGTCGTGTCTGTGGGACAACGTTGCATCGATGCAGGGTGGAGCTTTCATTGGCCAGCTTATAGCAGACCATACTTCAAGAAACCAGACGGAACTAAAGTCAAACTTGAAGTAGATGACTATGTTCCATACCTGCCACCCACAACCGGTGTTGCGATGTCAGCCATAGGTCAACCTTATGGTGCAAATCAGCGGTCGGGGGGACCACGACCCATGATTCCCCTGCCTGCCACGCCGGCTGAAGAAGCGATTGAGGTCTATGATGATGATGAAAATCCACTTGGTGAAGATCCCGCTGAAGAGGAACCTGAACCATTGGATGAGAGGTTGGTAGAAAAGCCGTTGGACCACAAACGGGACCGGGGGGAGACTGCACTGAAGGAAGAAGCTCAATCAATTCAGCATCTGTTGACACATACTCCAAAGAACCCCTTTTGTCAAGCTTGTTCCAGGGCGAAGATGACAAAACGTCCATCATATAGTAAGGGAGGTTCTACCCAAGTTGATGCGGACCTTTTTGGACAGCATTTGACTGCCGATCATCTTGTCATTAGGGACGATGAGGAAATGGACATTGATGGGGCTCGGGT